CACACTCATACACTTGCTCATGGTTTCTTGTATCTAGAGGAGGTAGCAGTCTGCCACATTCTGTTTTTGTGCAAATAAAGCATGCACATCTTTTGTTTTTTTTTCCCCTCGATAAATCTATATTCATTGTGCAATCATATGTGTTTGTGATGTTTCAGAAAAGAGGATGGAAAATGTTTTGTGTCCCTGTTGTGTGACCTGTGTGTCTTTGCTTCCAGACTGCAGCTTGAAGGTGAAAGACGTGCTGAGGGAATTTGATGCAGATGGCAGTCTGGCCCGGCACAGACATGGAGAGGTGAGGGGGTGGGGGGTCAGTGTGTCCTGCTGTTCACCATCAGGTCCACTCCTCCAAAACTCACTCACAGGGATGTCAGCTATGAGGCACATAACTAAACTGAAATATGGCACTCAGTGGAGCAGTTTAGTGAGAAATTAGAATTTGATTTATATGTACTGTGCAGTTATTAATTGTCATACGCTGATTAATTAGATTCAAATCCATCGATCGTGTTGACTAAGCTGTCCGTTAGAAATATCTTCAGCGCACTCGAGCGAGGTTGCAAATGTAAATTGCCTTCTTAGTTTTGCCCACGCAGCAAGGCTTTGCTGAACAGTGTGCTGGCTGCCCTCATGCAGTGTAAGCTCAAATGTGATTGAAAAAAGATATTTCCAATACTGTCAGTGGCTGACACTGCCAACTAATTTGTGCAGGAAGCAAATGCAATGATTTGTGATGGATCATTTGGCTGCATACAGTTTAATTAAATAATTGGAAGGAAATGGAAATGTTTTTAATGGGCGAAAACACAAATATTGCCATGAATTAGAAGTTAATAGCTGTTAAAATACGCAGAACAATGAAGTTATTTGTTTAAAATGTTGGTGCAGAATAATGATGCTGTTTCCTTAGCCTCACTCTCATTTGCCTTTTGTGATCTGGCTGCCTTGCAGTGGCATTATTTATTACTAGAGCAGCTCTGCAGGGTATCAACCAAGAAAATGGAATAATGTCAACAAGAAATGGGTTTGTGGTTCACTATTATCGAGGGAATATTGCTTGTTAGCCCTGCAGGATATTACCATGTGAGATAGACAGACCAGGCGACACAGATGGACTAATATCTTGAAAACCCTGCAACCACTCCAACGTCATGTTTTTACCTAAAAATAATGGCTTAAATGTTTCTAAGAAACATCTTGGGCTTTGGAAACTTATCTCAACCGTCACTGAATGTATTTGCGTGACTTTCAAGGTCTCAACAGTTTTTCTGAGTAAGCAACACTTCAAATACAACATTTTCACAGTGTCATCAATGTGATCGTCATCTTCCCTTATTTTCAGAAGAGGTTAATTTGAAAAAAGCAGAAGTTAATATGCACACACGCACACGTTATAACATTTCATTTTACATGTAACCAAACCACTGCAAATAAAATATGGCTCTCCCATTCATTCTTTCCCAGTGCATCAATGAAGAAGGCTTTCGTCTGTTCCTGAAGACTTATTTAGAAGTGGAAGACTTCCCGGTGGATCTCTGCCAGCGACTCTTCCGCTCCTTCCAAAACTCTGAACCCACCCGGGAAAACAGTGCCAGTGAGATTATACACCATGTATTAACACAACTCACTGCCTCCACGCTACTTTGCAGCAGGCCCTTATCCATTTACGCCATGGCCTATTTGGCATACATTCATTTATCACCACATGCCTGTGAGGTACTGTTTGTGCAGATATGGTAACCAGAGTATTCACAGCCGTCCCTCTCTATTCTCCGTCTCTCCTGTAGAGGAGGTCTTTCTGAAGGATGTTTCATGTTACTTCTCTCTGCTGGAAGATGGCCAGCCCAGGGACAAGCTGGAGTGTGAGTTTTTCTTTGTTTCTTTTATGCCCAAAATAATTTGAGTTATGACTTGATCCAGCACTTCCACTTTCTTTTCCCCTCTCTCCTTAGTTGCTTTCAAGCTCTATGACAGAGACGGCAACGGAGTCCTCGACAGCTCTGTAAGAGAAACTCTTTTAGGTGTGATTGTCAAAATCAGTGTAAAATCCTGGCTTTAATTGTGGATCCAACTTATCCAGTTCAAGGATCTTGATCAACATTTAATTTACACTATTGTATTATATAGGCCTACTACTAAGTCTTTTCTCTCTTTTTAAATAGGAGGTGGATAGGATTATTGCTCAGATGATGCATGCTGCAGAATACCTTGGATGGGATGTGTCAGAGCTCAGGCCGGTAAGTCCCAGCATGCTCTACTTTGAAATGTACTCTTTTAAACACAGGAAAGCCTGTACATACTGTACTTTCAGCCATGACAATGTAGTGAATGTACGTATAGATAAACACATTTGTTTACACAAGATATCTCTTACATCATTACATACTGTATATGGCAGTCTTGTTACTCATTTGCTAGGGTTTGTGAAATGATAAGCTTGTCTGGGCCTATAAAGTCAACAAATCCCCACACATTACTTGTATCAGGAAACATATGCCCTGTTTTAAGTAATAAAAATGTGTGCGCTGATTGGATAATAACAATTAAATCTAATTTCATCAGGTGCTCAAGGACATGATGACAGCAATTGATGCCGACAGCAGCGGCACAGTGTCTCTGGAGGAGTGGGTGGAGGGAGGCATGAACAACGTTCCCTTGCTGGTCTTGCTGGGTCTGAAGGTGCTTTAAAAGCAGCATGTTTCTCTTTTCGATAAGTGTTGGGCCCCAAAAGCCGAGTCTCAGGTGTATTTCATTTTTACAGCAGGTGTCTCACAAAGCGGTAAAACCTACTTTTACTGCTCTTGTGAAACCCTGGCCTTGCCGAGCCACTCCTCTGTCCTTCGCCTCCTCCCCGTCTATAAGGGCCTTTTTGCCGACTCAGTGTTACAGGGTGTGGTAATGTCATCTCCTCTCATGCAAGCTCTGCACCATCAAAGTGCTTTAGTGTTTTCCATTTACTCTGCACAATCTGTGCCCACATTTAACAAAGTGCTCGCATAAAATAGGCATCTCAGTGCTGATGCACTACACTTCACTAAAGAAATGAATCATTTTGATATTGGGTGTACGTATAAAAATGGTTGTCTTAAATCAAGGACAGATCAGTTTTGTTTTATGGGTGTTGTTTAATGTATTGCCAGATATGTAAAAGCTACTTACTGTTAAACAGCAATATAAAACCATGAACTAGACTCTGTCACTGGGCTTGGCCTCTTCCACAATGCCAGGGACTTCCCCTCAGGCTATTTCTAGCCACCAATGGACATTTGAAGCCTGGGGTGCATGAATCCAGCCCCCTCACAGTTGCTCTGTGCTGCCCCGCTATGCCTCATGCAGTAAGCGATAGGCTGATGCATCATGTTGGGGGAAAAAAGTGTGTAATCTGGATAAGAGCGCTGGTCGCTCTGTAAACAGATTGAAAGCAACCTTATAATCTTGTGTTGAGAGTTTGAGATTATAGTCAGTGTTGATTTTAATACCCATGGTGTTGAACTGTATGTCATGATATCTAGAGCCACTACATACTGCATAATCAGCAATCTCATTAATGCAAGGTTAGTCATGCGTGGGTGTGAAAAACAGCTGTGAAATGCAGGCCACATTGTTTTTGTGAAAAGGTTTGTGTAGTTTGATCCAAAAACGAAACAAAGTAAACAGATATAAGCATTGTTTATTACAGACATTTAGGTTTACACAGCAACAAAGATCTTAAACGTGATGTTCTCTTGTTTCTTGCATTGTCATCTTTCAACGATTACTCCTTCAACAACCAGATGACCCAGAAGGACGGTCAGCACCTTTGGAGGATGAAACATTTCAACAAGCCTGTTTACTGCAATGTGTGCCATAGCATGCTGCTGGGCCTGAGGAAGCAAGGACTGTGCTGCACCTGTGAGTACCTGAACTCACCAGAAGAGGGCAACACTACAGTGACATTTATAACTGAAACTGTGGCGTCAAAACTGGGAATTGCATCCTTTTTAGATTGATACTCATCTGTCATCCTTACATTTTACAGGATGATTTATTTTAATGTAAACATCATATGACAGCTGGGTTATGTGTCCTGGTGTGCAGGCTGCAAATACACAGTCCACGGACGCTGTGCTAACAGGAACCCGGCTCCCTGCACCAGGACGTACGTGAAGTCAAAGAAAGAAACAGGGGTATGCCAGTGTCTCGATGACAACATTTACACTAATACTCACCGTCTAAGTTAGACGTTATCCTGCTGAGTTCTGTTATGTGGACGTTAAAACATTCATCTCGCATTTCAGGTTCCAGCACACGACTGGGTGAGTGGGAACTGTGACTCGAGGAAGTGTGATAAATGCCAGAAGAAGATCAAGAGCCTCCAAGGCTTAACGGGGAAACACTGTGTGTGGTGCCACACAATGGTGAGGAAGCATCTCAGTGTGTGACTGATCTTTAGGAATCAACAGTTACATTGTTTTTGAGCAATGAGGAGAAAATGTGCCTTTTGGTTAGATAGATACTTTATTTATCCCGAGGAAAATTCAAGTATCCAGTAGCATACAAAATACAAAACATACATTAAACGTACATTAAACATACATTAAACTAAATTTATTGATTATTATATATATTTATTTATTATTGTACATTTGAGGCATCTTGCCACAAATGTACCCATAATGCTTTGGATTCATATTCCTTCTGGGGAAGCTTATATCCTCCTCCTCCTCCTTTTAACTTTACTGCCTATTTACACTGTAAGCAGTAAATGAAGCATAAATGCAAAACTAAATCTTTTAAAAAGATAAATATGGATCAGCTGTCATCACTGTTGTGCTGGGGGTTTATGTAATGTGTCACTGTTTTTCTGTTTTCTACAGCGTCATGATGATTGTGCAGACCAAGAGCCAACAGATTGTACCTGTGGGCAGCTCAGAGACCATATCCTGCCTCCATGGGCAATATATCCTGTTATAAAGGTACTGAATTGTCCTCTGGCACATCTCAAGCACATGTACAGTACAAACAGTGCCTGTCACACCAACGCAGAACAGCCCAGGGCTGTTTCTTGTTGTTGGTAAACCCTTCTCACCTGTGTGGCATTTTTAACAGGTACAGCTAGTACAGTTTTTTCTTTGTCCTCAAAGGGAAGGAAAAGCTATTAAATTTCTCTTGTTTATTCACTGTGTGCCTTTGTTTTGGTCCCTAAAGGAGAGACCAAACAATGTAAAGAATGGCTGCTCAGGCTCAGCAGAAGACAGCGAGCTTAATACAACTCCTGATGGACAAGTGCTTCAGGTATTATTTACCTCAGTGAAGGCTTCGATTAATACTTACAACCTGACATCTGAGTAGTCTACATTTGATTTGGCTATATGTACAGTAAATGAGCATGTGTTTTTAATAACATTTGTTTATCATTGAATAGATCAGCGCTGTGCCAAACACCCATCCTCTTCTAGTGTTTGTCAACCCTAAAAGTGGAGGCAAGCAGGGGGAAAGGTGAGTCCAAAGAAGAATACGCTCATGAGGAAATAGATGTCTAATACATGCTCTTTGTTTAGCCTGGTTTTGTGTATTTCAGAGTCCTGCATAAATTTCAGTATTTACTGAATCCACGGCAGGTATACAACCTTTCCAGTGGCGGACCTGGACCAGGGTGAGTAATCTGTACAACTGATTATCGTCAGCATGACATTGAAATAGATTTTATTTTAAAATACACAGACCTGAATATTAGACCATTTCAGAGCACAATGTCCTGTGTCATGCTTTGCTGTTACAGGTCCCATTATCTTTCTTTCAGATTGAGTTTCTTCAGAAATCTACAGGATTACAGGATCCTGGTGTGCGGGGGAGACGGAACAGTTGGCTGGATTCTTGACGCAATAGGTGAGATAGTTGGATCAAGGACTATAAAAGGCACGCATCAACTTCCACACCAGGAGCTTCTGGTGAAAATCATTGTGACGCACTTCCTTTTTCCTTTTTTTTGCAATCAGATAAAGCCAATCTGCTAGTACGGCCACCTGTCGCTGTGCTTCCTTTGGGCACAGGAAATGACCTTGCGCGATGTCTCAGATGGGGAGGAGGTAAGAAATTAATTTCGTGGAGTTGGAGAGTTTCCCTTTTTAAGAACATAGTGAAACAGTTTGCTCTGTATGCTCTGTTGCTATGTGTGTGTTTGTTGGAATGTGCTTCAGTAAAAGAGAAGTTCTCCAAATGCTTTATTCTATATTTGTGCACATGAAAGCAGTGAGTCATGTTGGTCTTCGTGTATGTTGCCTCTCTGAAGGATATGATGGTGAGGATCTGAGTCGTATTCTTAAGGACATCGAGGGGAGCGCTCAGGTGCTGATGGACCGCTGGAGCGTGCAGGTCATCACAGACGAGAATCAGGAGAAGGGCGACCCGGTGCCATATGAAATCATCAACAACTACTTCTCTATTGGCGTTGTGAGTTTCTCAGAAATATATCACACAAGAGGAACTGTTTATTTTTCAGGTTTGGATCATTTTGATCATTGTGTTTTGTTGACAGGATGCCTCCATTGCCCACCGGTTTCACACAATGAGGGAGAAACATCCCCAGAAATTTAACAGCAGGTATGCATTAAACAGTTTGGTCTAACACATTCAGTCTCTAGGGTACTTCCTCAGGAACAGCAAACAAAGAGAAATACCCCTCTCATAGTAATAACAACACAGTTTTAACAACAAAGCAGACTTCTATTTTATCATCAGTTTTACTTTTATTTTTTCTGTTTGCTGTAACGGATTTTTGTAAAGCTGAAAAAAAAAAACTGAATGCAGGTGGTGACAGCAGATGTCTGTGGTTGCAGCTTGACTCCTCCTCCTTCTGAAAAGCTGTGTGTTCTTAAACCTGAAAATGAAATTAAAATATCACTTAAACACACACTTTTTTTGTGACTGCAGAATGAAGAACAAGCTGTGGTATTTTGAATTTGCCACTTCAGAAACCATCTCTGCTTCCTGCAAAAAACTGAGCGAAAGTCTAACAATCGAGGTGAGAATGCGGCATCAGCGTTACCAGAAGTGCAAGTGTGTTGCACTGTTTCTGTAGTGTGAAAAAGACCAGACCAGACAGTGTACTGATGCTTTACATTGTTTCTGTCACCTGCTTCTCTTCCCTCTTCAGTGCTGTGGTACTCCACTGGATCTCAGCGGCGTGTCTCTAGAAGGGGTTGCTGTCCTGAACATTCCCAGCATGCACGGTGGCTCCAACCTATGGGGTGAGACCAAAAAAGGGGACACTAAGGGACAGGCAAGTCAGGAAGAGCCTGAGGTGATCATCGACCCAGAAATCCTGAAAGTGACCTCCCAAGGTATTTTGTCTTTGACCTCAACTTAACTGAACGGTGACTTTAGGCCAGAGTGCATGTGAGATTATCAGAAGCCTTTTAACTTCTTTCATCTAAATGTTTTCGTGTTAAAGCCCACAAACTCCACTCTCATCAAGCCCCTTTCTAGCTGCAGTAGGAAGCTGTTTTTAGCAGATAGGTCCTGATAAACACTGTATGCTGCCTGTCCAGCACCAAATGGCAGACAGACAAATACAGAGCTAAAAGGAAAGTGAATATTGGACTTGTCTGCCAGGTGTAGACACAAACAGGACCCAAAATAAATGATAATGTTGGATGTGTAAATAGGCAACTGTTGGCTAAAATGCTTGCCTATTTATTTATTTATGGTGATAATTTGTCAGATGTGTTTTCTCAATGATTCAAGGTTATTTAATTGTCATTTAAAATGTAGGGTTATATAATGGAAGTAGTATAATAATATGCTGCTCCCCGGTGGTCAAAAAAGCCATTAATGCAGCTTTAAGGGAGGGGGCATTTGCACAAATCATTTAATGCATTAAATTAAACTGGCTCCCACAATTCATCAGATTCATCATCCCAGATGATGAAAGCATTGGTCTAATGTATTTTTTAATGCTCTTGTGGTAAACCTGCAATAACTGATTTCTCTGGCCGCTTGAGGGCAGCAGAGAGACTGACCTTTAAGTATTATATGGTGAACTTGTTTGCAAAGTGTTGCCTATTTACACATCCAGTAGACACAGAGCAACAGTAGCATTCATTTGGAGGCGAGTTTCTGTCCACTTGTGCGATATTTACTCAGCTTTTAGGTCTGATTTTGGTCTCCACCAGTTCCTGAGGGAAATATCTCTTTAGCTGTTAAATACTCCAAATGTGCTGTTTGGTCTTGACACCTGGAAATGTCCAAGTGGTCCACTTTAACATGTGATCCTATAAATTAAGTTTTAGTATTATATTTCACATAAATGTATGCAGTGATATATGTATGTAATGGATCCAGTTTATGCACAGTATGATAACTGTAAACATGGCGACGTTCCCGCTCCGTGCACTGGATGTTCAGTATGTCCGTGTGTTCTCGTCAGATCTCAGTGACCGTCGACTAGAGGTGGTCGGCCTCGAAGGAGCCATGGAGATGGGGCAGATATACACAGGCCTCAAGAGCGCTGTGAGGCTCGCCAAAACGTCACAGATCACCATCAGGTGAGAAACTGCCACACAGACGTGTTCAGACTTGTCAGGCTTTTGTGCTCTAAGTCTTGAGAATGGCTCCTATTTGAGTTTGATCACCAGCTGAGGATGATACTTAGCTGGTTCTTTACATAACAATAATTAAGTATGCTGGCTTTCCTTTTGGTATTTTAATTACACATTTGGGTCATTGATTTTGTTAGCTGATGCAGTTTGTTGATCCCTCTCTGCTTTACCCCCAGGACGAAGAAAGCATTACCGATGCAGATAGATGGAGAGCCGTGGATGCAGCCTCCCTGCACGGTAAATATACCACACAGACCGTTTCCTCTTTAGGGCAAGACCATAAATTAAATACTGGAGCAAAATCTCCCATTAGCAATAAAATAAAATTAGTAGAAATGTTTTGATTTGATTATGTTTTTATATTTCCTTTTCAGATTCACATCACACACAAGAATCAAGCCAGTATGTTGATGGCTCCACAGGGCAAATCATCTGGTTTTTTCAACTACAAGTAAAACCGATTACTACATGCCGATTGTATATAGAGGACTGACACTTTTCTGCATGTCTGTAACACATAAGCATAGAACTGTATGAATACAAACTATATGGTGAGATATGTTTGCATCGTGGCAAAATGATTTTGACCAAATGTACTTATCAATACTCGACACTCTCGCTGCCTCCGTCTCAGTGCTTCACAGTTAGTGGAAATGTTGCTCTGTAGGAACTTAAAGTAAGGTTAAAGTAAAGTGAATAGCATGCTAAAAGAAGAATATTCAGCTTCATGTGCCTTTTAAAAATCTGTTCTCTATGGTTATGGCTTAGGATGAAGACATACAGAGCATCGTGTAGGCATGCACTCTGGACATAAACCACGTAGTATTGCTGTTTAGTTTGTGGCTGTAAAGATGCCGTGAAAGCCAGACATATATATTCTTGTCAAATTGGAACCAAAAGAGAAGGATAGACGAGATTACGTTTCAGATTGTGGCTGACATTATTTTCCTCCTTTTTAATTTTTTTTTTCCATAAATTTTAGGAGATACTTGAATTGTTTAGGGGAACAGTAAAAGGACAATCATTGCCAAAAGGGGCTGCACGTTGATCCACTGCAGCAGTCAGCCTACTCTGCTGTTCCTTTGTGTGTGTGTGTGTGTGTGTGTGTGTGTGTGCATATGCGTGCGACTGTGCGTGTGTGAAGGCAGAAAGTGTTTTGTAGTACATGTTTAGCGCAGAAAGATGTTCACTTCTAACTTGTACATTTCTGGAGGAGTCGGATTTGAAATGGTTGGTTCAGACCGGTTTTAAATGTATGTAGTTCTTATTTAAATGCTTTATCAGTCATATCATTTCAATGTATCTGGAAGATGTTAATGTAATATGCCTGAAATAATACACTGTGTAAAGATTTTAATAAATCATCTGGACTTCAACGTTTGGTATACTTCTTTTGGTTAATTCCTTATGTGGTAAATTACTATTTGTGTCCACCACAAGGGGGCGTCATCTACTTTTTACTGATGCCCACAGATGGCTGCAACATGTTCACGTACCCTGACTCAAAATAATAGTTTTCTCTGCCTCTTTAAGACTAAAATTCTGATTGTACAACTTAATCTCTTTGTTGTCAAAGACAGGATCTGTGTGTAGAATAAATAGTAGTTTGTTCTGAGTTAATAGCACACCTAACTTTAGTGAGAAGGTTTGTGTGTCAGCAACAGATGCTGCCTTCAGATGCTGTTGGACAAATCATGATTGCATACTGTATATCTGGAAACTTTGCCAACAGCTGCTGCTCAGAGTCATTTAAACAACTGTTTGCATATAAAAGAAGCCACCAATTTCAAGAATTAAACACATGTGCCTTAGCATGGCTCAGTTTCATTGAATTATATATAGAGAAGCCTTAAAGATCACCTCAGGACATGTTTTAATAAAAAATACTCCCACGGGCCCATTGAGTCTTTCTCAGTGTATGTGTCGAGGAAGTTTCAAATGTCCACGTCACGGTTTTATTAGTTGCATATTGGACCTTTATGGTTACCAGACAGGTGGAGATGTCACAAAATCACGCTTGTATGTAACTTAAACTCAGATTTAATGTGGACACAGAGAATGAATGTGAGTCTCAAACTCTGCACAGTGAAGCTCGAACATCTAAGAGAAGGTACATGGACTCCTTTTTTGACTGGAGGGGGACTTTTAAACTTTGAAATCGGGCTCTGCTCCACAGATTTGAACCCACAAGCTTGTATCATACCATCACTGACGAGAACTGATACAAAAATCTTCCGGGTCAATAAAGTTATTGCGATTTCTACTGTAAGGAATGAGTGGTGCTTGTTCACAACTATTCATTGAACATGGCAAGTTAATTTTCCCCTTTAAGTTTCAATATAAACATTGATTCATGTCTGAAGCTAATGTTGAATGTTATTTCCTTGATAAACTGATTAATCATTTGGTTTATAAATTATCAGAGAAGAATGAAAAATGTCCACAATTTCTATGTCAAGGTGAGATCTTCAGATGTTTTAATCTAACATGTAGATATGATTAAGATTTCAGAGGTGATTTTACATGTAGGTAATTGGAAAAACCCTTACAAGTGCCTGGTGTTTTGGGGTTTGTACAAAACTACAAACACATTCAGGTTACAATGAAATAACAGAGAACAGCAGAAGATCCTCACATTTTAGAAGCAGACACTAGTGAATGTTTGTCATTGTTGCTTTAGAAATTACCAAAAAAAAAGATTAAAACGACTAATCGATTATCCAAACATTTGCTGATTCATTGCCTTGTTGCCCTCTGTCTTGGATTATACTCATAATTATAAACAACACTTGCAGCTGCTCACGCTCAGCTTCCTAAACGCGACACAGAAAAATCCGAGGCGTACCCGAAGGCAGCGTAAAGGATGCACGTCAACGTCGCTATTGGCACTCATTCGTGTCCTTCACAATAAAGTCCCCGCCTCCGCAGCCTGTTCAGAAGAAACGCTCTGAACTCACTTTTGTAGTGAAGTTGCCTCCACGTTGAAGCTCACAACTCGGTCAGCATCTCTCTCTTCACAGGACAACAACATATTTTCTTTATATATTTTATTTCCCACACTTCAACCTCACCTCAACCAACCTCAGCATGACGTTCAGGAGGCTGAAGAAGGTGAACTCCAGCGGGCCAGAGAGTGGACACTCATCCCAGGACAACGACATCTATTTCCCCTCGTCAAAGTCAGACAGCTGCAGGACGATGGAGCTACCGACCCACTCCTCGGAGGTTTACAACTACAGGACTCTGGCTTACTCTGGAGGGACTCTGCCCAGAAACTTCAAAAAAGTAAGAAGTGCATTTGTTTTTAGAACCTTTTTTGTATGTTGTGCCCTCATTCATTTTTGGGGGGGGTCTTTTTAGTCTGGGGTTATTTTAATCTTATAAAACTGCACTCTAAAAAGTTATTTCTGTGAGTCTTTTTTAGTTAGATTTAGCTCAATATTAAGTTTTTCCACTCTAGAGGCAGAAGCTATTATTTGCCTCATTAGCATCAAATCATGTCCAGTTCCACTTCTGGTTTTGGATTGTTGCTTTTCTGCTAAATCAACACTTTTTAGTTGAGTTTCACAGGGGGAAAAGAGAGGAGATCATTTTGTAATTGTGGCTGGTCAACCCTTGAACTTTGTGTTACCTCATCTTAAAGTTATACTGGAGTTAAACTGGAGTTCAGTGGGATGCAGTTTACTCAGATGGGAAAATGTTTGGGAAAGCTCTGCTGGAAGGCTGTTCACACTGTATCTGTAGAGGGCATCTGACTGAAGGCCAACAGTAGCCCATCCTGGGGCAAGTGTGGACCACCCAAACACTGAGTCTGGTCTCTGCTGTGTCAGGGACAGCCCGGGGCACTGTGAGGTACTTTATATGTGGACTTGTCAACAAACAGCAGTCCAAAAATAACTCATTATGAAGTATAATGACTCCTCTTTCCTGAGTGGGATGATCTAACATGTAGATATGATTAAGATTTCAGAGGTGATTTTACATGTAGGTAATTGGAAAAACCCTTACAAGCTCCTGGTGTAACTATATAATAGTTTTGTGGTACCCAAAAACTAAAATATACAACAAAATATAAGGATTATGAGGAAAAACACATAATTCAACTGTAGTTGTTAGAAAACTGAGGTCAAAAGACAAAAAGAAAGTAATTAAACTGACTGTATGATGGGAAATTTGTCATTTGAACTACAAGTACAGACTATATACTCACCTATATACATTTGAATCAGACTGTGCCATTTATTCCACTTTAAGATCAATTTTACATGCTGCCTTCCTTTCAAAATAAGAGCACACTGTGGCAAACATCATTCAAGATAAACAAATCAAACGTTTTAACCTGATAACAACTTGCTTGACTGGATTAGTTAATTGAATGATTGAAGTACAGGACCCAGGACTGACAGGCACTCCCCACTCCTTCTCTGATGGTCCAGAATGACATCAGCTTTAGTCGGCATTGCCTAATACAGGCTGAAAGTTGGCATGGCTGGTGGTCAATTGGCAAATCTTCCTGGTTATTGTGTCTGATGAAGCTCACTGATTCCATTCTGCAACTTCCTTTTCGGTTTCTGAGAAAGGTGGACAAACCCCCAGTTAGTTTGAACTGTTGCAACAGTGTACTGTAAAGAGAGGTCATTCACAAAACCTACATACATACATGCATAAGTGTGCAGTAGCTGGGGCGAAAGGGCTACAACAGTGCATTGTGCGCACACAGGAGATCCTGCTCCAGCCGCCTCCGTTGGTCTCTGTGGGTATTTGGGAATAAATGCACTCATTGAGACGGCCGTGGGACAATTCTGTAAGTGTGGAGACATAAAGAAAGCAACATTTTACTACCCAGAGAGACTGTGGCACAAAGCAGCCCTTTCATAGGAGCAGCATTTGAACGTGATTGAGTTGGAACAGACGAGGATTGATTGTGAGTGATTTAGTGGAGCCTTTCTGGACAGATGCCTTCCTTATTTACACAGTCAGGTAGGGCCGGGTCCTGACCTACTGTTGACTTGGATTTTCACTCAATGCGGTTATTGTGGCAGTTATTCCAGCCCAGTGTTCACCACTGTGTCTTATTTGTTTCTGTAATAGGCTGGAATCTGTACAACCTTGCTCTAAATGATCTAAAATTTCAGATAGGTCAACAGTCTGAGTGCCTGCAGGCAGCTAATTTTGTGTGAAATTAAAGGCTAAATTTAGGCTTTCTGTGGTCCCTCTCTGATGTTGTGACTGTTTGAAGTAAACAAAGAGCAGCCAGACACGCATTTCGGGTTTCAGTACTGATGTTTTTATACCGGCATAATAACTCAGTGGCTTAAAAACACAAACACAAAGCTTGGCGCACGTGTGCAGCTTCAGGACTCGTTGGACCGGTCGATGCACTGATGTGTGTACAGTAGGTGTGCCTAGGAAATCCTGGGGTTGGGGCGGGGGGGGAGAAACCCTCATGAGTAATCACGCATGCATCACACGCAGGTGTCTGACACGCTCCATGTCTTGTTTCGTTTCTTCCTGGCAGGGTGACGGGCTGCAGAAGTGGAAACCCCTCACACAGACGCCAGAACCACAAAGGTACAATCCCCCTCATCGTTCACTGTCAGTTTTTCTCCTGTCTTCACACTGATTGTTTTCATGGCAACAGCTTTCCCTCCTGCAAACAAGTGAGCAGCCCCCTCGGAGTGAAACCCCCCGCCGATTCAAACAGTGATCTGTAATGATGGCTGCCATTGTTATTCATGATATTCTTGAGGTTTGTCATGAATTTTCATGCATCTTTGCTGCCCCTGCATGAGAGATGCAGTGCTGACGTCCCTCAGTCCAACAGACCCTTGTACTGTACGCTTAGCTGTGACGTCCAGATGCTGCTGGACACAGAAGAAGTCCTGTGCAGCTGGCAGAGATATCTCGTTATGCAATTTAGATAAGGATGGACGTGGAAGAGAGGAATCCAGAGTTGGACGTAAACATCTTGTTGACCTCATCCGCATCCTGGTCTTTATGTCTAAAAATGTTGTTTTTATAAATGATTCTGAGTCTTTTAAATGTCACCATTACCATCAGACTAAAAAGCTGATGGGTACTCTTATTAAATCACATATTGATTTGCTTTAAAGGGGAACTCCACTGATTTTTACACATCAGAGGCTGTTTACATGGGGAGTGGTAGTACAAGAAGTTGTATCTCTGGTTCTACTGCAGTGCAAGTCCAATGTTAGAGTTAGTGCTACACAATGAATGAAATTATTATCAAGAATTACAATGTGCAAATCGCAAAAGCTGCATTTTTTTTATTTTTTTTTTTTTTAAAAAGGTAAAATGTGTGATAAAACGGCATTATATTGGAGCACTGTAGTTTTGAAGAGGTGCCCTGATATACAACTCTTGTTCTCCAGATTTAAGAAAACATGTTTATTTGGTACAGAGCCCAAAAAAGGTCACATCATCATTATTTATTTATGAATAAATACATTTGTGATACAGAAAAGATCATTCCCACTCATCGTGAATGATATCGAAATCGGAATATTTGTCAAAATAATCACAATTTGATGCTTTTACTATATGGTTCAGAGTTAAAGTGATAGAATGATGCTGTTTTGACATTGTGAGGTTTCAGATTTAAGGTGATTTCATACAAAAAAAATACCCGATCTCTGGGTAGATAACCCTGAAAGCAAGGCTGCAACTAACTATTATTTTCTGTGAAAATGTTCATCAAAATATCCTAAAGCCCAAGGTGACGTCTTCAATTGTTTTGTTTTTTTTCCAACCAACAGTTCAAAACCCCAATTTACAATAATATAAAACAGAGAAAAGCAGAAACATCTCACATTTGAGAAGCTGACACCAAAAATGACGCAAAGCAACTAAGCAATTATCCATATGGTTGCTGATTAATAGACTAATAGTTTCAGCTCTGCATTGAATACATCCCTTTTGTGCATTTTTTTTCTCCTCTTGATTCTTCTACTTTATCATATGGTAAATATGCAACACTTAATTTCTGCAAACTCTACTTTTAATGTAAGAGAAGCAGCCATTTGTCACATCTGGGAACCTGCAACCAACAAATATTTGGCATTTCCTCTTGAAAAGTGACTTATCGACAGCGATTCGTTGATTATCAAAACAGATGCTCATCGGAGCTCGTGTTAATTTCACAAAAAGACTCATCTGCTTCGGCCGAATCTGAGGATACAAAAGAAGTTGAGCTGAAGTGTATACAGAAAAGAGTAGTGGTTAGTAAAACTGACAGAATCTCTTCCCTTTTTCCAGAAAGGTGGTGGTCCTGGAGAAAAAGGACGAGGAGACGTTTGGTTTCGAGATCCAGGTAAGATTTCTTAACCTCCCGAGTGCCATTTAACAGGATTTCCCTGATCGGCCACATCCCTGTCAACCGATCATCATGCTCGACTGACTGGAACATGGACATCTTATCCCATAAATCTCTTAATCTCAACGTTTGCCTGCGCTGGCGTCCGGGGGGTCGAAAGGTCATGCATCAGTCAAATAACTCATTGATGTTAGTCATATGACTCAAGAGAAGAGGAGATGGGTTCTTTCTCTCCCGGCGTTTATTTTAAGCCCTGTGGTTTGCTCACACGCTTCCCATGTAATACCTGCTCCGTTCTCACCGGCTCAGCAGGCAGACGCTTCCCACATTTGACCTCAGTATCTCTCAGATCTCTCTCGCCGCACTCACGTCGCCCCGAAGTGCTGCCTCACAATGTCGGCTCTGTTGTGCAGACCTCATTCTTTAAATAGTTTTCTGAAATGGTTAAATGTGGGTTTGAGTGTTTTCACAGTAATGCGGATAATGTAATGCATTCTGGGACTGTTAGTGTTTCTTGAAGTGGAGGGCTGCATTGAGGAAAAGACAAATTGTTCTATTTATGGTTTCGATGGAGGTTCCCGCCCTTCCTGCCCGTCTGTTGCCAGAAGGAAGTGAGATCATGAGGGCCAGTTTGACGGTCAACACAGAGAGAGAGAGAGAGAGAGAGAGATGGGTTTTAGAGTGTTTCCTGGTGGTTTTCCCTCCCTCAGTGCCTGTTATGTTAATACATATTATGTGGAGCTGAGCATCCAGCATGTATGAATGTGATGTTTGCATCTCAGCGGTATTTGCATGGTTTATCTTTTAGGCTGCTGTAAAGGAAGCTCACAGTGAGCCAGCAGCAAACGCAGACAGGCAGATCTGAATCATTGCAAATTTCCGTAAGAGACACTCATCCAAGTTGGATCCATGTTTTAATAGGAACAGTTGACTGACTGTAACAGATGGAAAGCTCGATAACTTGGGCTTTATTTTTACGAGACGGTCCCATCGTTTCGTGAGTCTCTCGACCTGTTTGTCGAGGTCCAGAGTTACTGGCTCCCTCAGCAGCAGCATCTTGACTGACTGATAGTTGAGTGACAAGAGGAAGTCTATCTGTTGCCTCCAGTGACCTTCTGTAGAGAGACTGCAGTGGCTGAAACCAGGAAGAGCATGCAAATGCATGTGGAAGTAACAAAAACGGTTCCCAAGACAACTAAATATTAGATATGTAATGAGGTGGTGCTGGTATTTGGTAAGCTTGTTGTGTGTTCTGTGTTTGTTGAGCAGTTTCTTAATAAGTTTTGTGGCAGCAGCAGGTTTATAAAGTGGCTAATCTATTGAAAGTACAGCCCATATGTACGCTGAAAGTGTTATCTGCCACTATAAGAAACTCTCTGTAAAGAGATCAGGTAACAGACATGTTTTCTGTGCAGACATATATTGCAATGTTCAGTTAAAGATAGTATGAGTAGTCATCATACAGAGTTATTGTTCTTTTTTTGTTTGGTATTCCCTCTTTGAGCTTCAATGAACAGTGTTCAAGAGGGAATTTTGTGCTATAAAGACTGTAACTTTGGAAGATTTCCTCTCTAGTTCAGTCTGCTGAAGCCTCAAATTATTTTCAGATGAACTTGAAGCTGTAATTTCTGCAACTTTCGAGTATGTTTTTGCACATAATGGAGGGCTTTTATCCCCCATCTCTTACAATAAAAGTATGGACAGTAGGAACCCTTTCGATACACATCCAGGCTCCTGTGAATCTACCCTCAAATGTTTGACGTTAAAACGTCTACCAGCAGTTTCTGTTTAATCAGACAAGTGAAACTTGCTTTGCATGTTTGTGCTACATCTCTGCATGTTCAATGATACTATCTGCTTTCCTGCATTGTCTGCCATGACTTCCTCAGCTTGCCATTCAGTGGTTTATCAGTGTTGAAATGTCTACAAGATTTCAAAACTGCTGACATCAATCACATTGTGTAAGATCATTCCTATATGTGAGGCGTAAGGAAGTATTCATAAAGCTTCTGTGGTTCAGTGTGATTCTTCTGTCTCTTTCAGACTTACGGCCTCCACCATCAGGACCAAAACTCGGTGGAGATGTGCACGTTTGTGTGCAAGGTGCACGATGACAGCCCGGCTCAGGAAGCAGGACTTAAAGTTGGTGAGTTTGTGTTTCTATTTTCCTGTGAGCCGTATCGAAGCCTTAAAATATCCTGGGAAAACGCTCATAATAGATGTGAGGGGAAGTGAGCGTGTGAAGAGGTTTTTGGTTCAGCTCATCCTCTTTTGTGTTTTCCAACTAAAATTCACGAACTGTACACTGATTTTGTATCAACAAAAGCACTCTTTGTGTTTTCAACCCGCTGTTTAGGGAAGTACAAATATGACTGTGCGCCTACTCATTTTCCATTCAGCAAACAACTAAGTGAGCGGCTATTTCAGCCAACACGTCAGTGCCAGCTCCTCTCACCACAGTGCCAGATAGAGTAGAGTAGAGTAAAGCAAAGACAACTTCTCAAATGGCAGTTTTGAAATGAAGTGTTGTTTGTATTTGGCAAACACGGCTCGTTTCCTTTTTGGGTCCTTTTTAAAGGGAATTCCTCAAAGATAGAAAGAGTGTGCTAATAAACCAGCACATGCAGTTCTGTGTTTATTAGTTAAGTGAAGAAAATATTTGTTGAAGCGAGATGAGAAAAAGAAGCTCTGTGCTGAAGAGCACTGCGGCGGTTGTTCACTTGCTTCTATAAATTGTCTCTGGTTTTCAAACTCATGACCGCTCAGTCACAAGCCGGCCGCTCTCAGCATGACGTCTCCATCAGTGTGTCAATAAAGGAAAAGAAAAAGGAAGGTGATTTTGCAATTCAGCCACCTCCCTCCTTCATCCACCCTGCGTATGTCACTTCAGTTTCACTTCTACATTCTTCGCATACTCGCACTATTGTTCCCTGCTGCCTTGCTGCGAACACAGTGACTTCATCGCATGAAGCACATTAAGCGGTGGTTTTTGAAAGAGGAAAATAGACATTGTGCTGAAACCTCACAAGGGTTGTTGTCACGCATGAGTGTTCACACCACAGCTAATAACTGCAGGGTCTAAAGTGGAATGGTGTGACTCATTTAAATAAACATACGTGGTTTTAACATAACAAAAGAAAGCACATCAAGCTCGCTTTCAACTTAAATAATAACTTTTTATCATCCCTATAATGATTTCTTTCTTTTGGAACATGTTTGGCTCTTTGATTTCTCTCACTGGTTATAGATTGAGCTCAAATGTATGTGCTTACATCTGCACATCTCTGTAATTCATTTCCTCCTTTTTTAAGTGTTTTTTTTTAAATATATTTTTGGGAAGCAACTTTGATCATTAATTTTATTTTTAACATTTTGAAATAAGCTTCTTCCTAATGAGGTGACTGCAGTTCAGTGACAAGCCATTTGCCACGACTGCACACGCATGGCCTTCCACATTTGTGTTGCACATGTGTCGAGGTTTCATTTAGAATCAAATGAGCCTCAGTTGGCTGCAGCTTGCAGTAATTGAAGCCACAGTGGATTGAAGTGCACCCTGACCTTATGGCTGCTGGTTAACAGACATGATGTTTGTGTGTGTGTGTGTGTGTGTGTGCACAGGGGACACCATTGCAAGTGTGAACGAGGCCACCGTGGAGGGATTTAGGCACAAGGAGATCGTTCAGCTCATCAGGGCCTGCGGCAACACAATCAGGTACACAGACTGACAGAAAGCAACATTTAATTTCAATAAAAAATGTGTTAGTGAATGTTCTCAGGTTTTTAATTCATTAATACATACATTACATTTATTCCAGTTCAATTTGACATAAAAATTGGAAGCAATTTGATCGTTTTATTTCTTAGGACGCTAACAACACTGTCACAACTCAGCTTAGAAAGATCCATTCAAAAGGGAAAAATAACAGAAAAACACATCTCTCTGACTTGCTCTCTCTTTGTGTGCCAAAATCTATTTATGGTCAAAAAATTGAATTCAGTTTACATGGGCAGGATGGATTTTTATTTCTTAAAGGGGGGGAATGATAGAAAATGTTTGGGAATCACTGGCTCAAGTTATTAAATGAGCAAAAATGTGAGGACTGGCTGCTTTTCTTTATCTTCTATCACAGCCAATTGCATATATCTGGCTTTTTTCTGAATTTTTTTTGACATTTCCTGGTCTAAGGGGCCAGACGCAACATCATTTAAATACGGAGATAACGGCTCATATTTGAACACTCGTCTTTACTGGAAGTCACAGTGTGTTCAGTTATTTGCGTGAAAAAAAGACAGAAAAAGTTGTCACTATGGGGTAAAAAAAAAAAAAGAGCTAAAGAGAAAAGTTTAAACCCTGACTCCTTCCTCACCTCTGCACAGTTGGCCAATCACTGTGTAATGCGGGTGTGAATGTCCGATCTTCCGTTTCAGAAAGTTACAGAAATGGTCGGACGCATCCCCTCCCCCCTAAACTGACATTTGAAAAGGCTTCAGGGTTTCAGAAGCTCTATGACCATCTAATGAAGCATAGTGGCAGCTTAAAAGTTTAAAAATAATCAAGATATATTTGACTCCATTTAATAGGTAAGAGATTTGTCAACCATAGCTTAAGTAACTTGAACATCGTTGATATCTGGCACTCGAAGCTAAGTGCTGAGTGGGTGTTTAATCTGAACCACACTCTCTTCCTCATCCTCCCTCTCTGCTTGTAAAAGATTAAAAGGACAATTAGCGAGGCCCCTGTATGTGAGCTTTTGAAAGCTGCTGCAAAAGAAGTGAGGTGAACCGCATCAAGGTGCCAGTGTACGCACAGAGTTTATAGACTGACATCATCAAATTATACTTAAAAACTCAAGTCTGTATAAACTGTTAAAGTGAAAACAAGCTCTATAAGTCGGTCAGCCGCTCATGTGATTCAAAGGATTTGCCACAGTATCTTGAGTGGAAAGTGTATATGTTTCTTATCCTTCCCCCTCGCTTGTAAACCATTTGATAGCAGACCCTTTCCCGCCACCGTCTTATGAAAAGAGCCTTTCATATGGTCCAACTTGTTTTTCAAATGGCCGTTTAATGCCCTTGTAGGTTTTAATAAGCGCTTCCTGTTAACGCTTATTAATTCTGTTGCCTTCTGGTTTTACATTTAAAAGGCTGGAGACGGTTTACAGTGACTCAATCCGAAAAGCAGAGCTGGAGGCCCGGCTTCAGTATCTGAAGGTGAGTTTGTCTTCTCTGTGTGTTTTTTCACTGTTTGTCAGCAGTGAGTCAGCCGGATTGTTTGTCCCCCAGCCTCACCCACCCACACATACATTACGTTACAATGCTGTATATAGACATCACCCCCTCTCACCACACCTGTCTTCCCAGCAGCACCACCTGTTGCATCAGCAGTTCCTCCAGCAGGCTCTGGCTGATCGCTGCACACATTCTTGACTCGTGGCTGTTTTTTCAAAGCTGTCTGTGAAGTGGCTTTTCCCCCCCAAGATTATAGCAGCTGTCCAGCTCTTAATCCACCAGTGTGTGAGAGCTGCAACACAGCCGCTTTCTGAGATACTAATCCCAAACGTTTTAAAGATTAATGTTGCTGCTGAACACACTTGCATTTGACTTGCTTGGGGTGAAATGGTTGGTAGATGTTGATTTCACACTGAATATGATATCATTGTGGATTCATGTTGGGGGAAAATCAAAAACACTGACTGAAAAAGTACCAACTACATCACCAAGACAAAAACTGATAAAATGATATTCATATTAAGTTGCGTGTCACTTAGTGGTAAGTTGGTTTTAGCCTGCAACTCCTCTTATTTGTCAATGCAGTTCTTGTTTCACACAGAATTTCTGAGAATATTGTCCATGATAAGCAATACAGCAATTATTCTTTAGTCTTTTATTGCTTTTAAGAGTTGCATATCAAAGTGTCACATCACCAGATCTTTGTTATACATGAGCTGACAACCCATTCTGATTTACATTAATATGTCCTACCTTTCTGTGACATTGTTTTTTATTCTTCAGTAGAGTTAAAGATCCTTTTTCATGAGTGTGTTGTGGTTTTCGTGTCACAATTATTTAACATTATCTCTTCTGTTCTCTTCCTTTTGTAGCAAACCCTTCATGAGAAATGGGATGAATATCGGTCGTTGATGGTGCAGGAGCAGAGGCTTGTTCATGGTAGGTTGTATGTGGTTGTCCTCTTTTATTTAGAAACCTTTATGTGTACATGCTTGTACATACAGTCAAACAAACAATACAAGTATTAAAACATTTAAAACAGATTTCAAATCATTCATTTTTAATAGTTTTCATTCAGCAGATTAAACAAACATTATACAAACAAAAAACCACTCTAGTTCACTCTAGTCCACTTGCTGCCATTTGAATAGTTTCTTGCATTCCTGTGTGTTCAGCGACGCAGCTAGTTCACTATACTAACTCTGCCACTCTTTCCTGTAGGCATAGTAATGAGTGATGCTGCAGTGTACGAGTCCCTGGAGTCTGCAGGTGTGTACGGCAGCCTCGGCACTCCCAGCCCCGCCGCTCAGAGAGCCCTCCGCTGCACCGGCAGCACCAGCAGCAGCGCCAGCTTCCTCAGCACAGCCACTGAGGATGACCCTCTTTACCAGACCTGCCTGTACCAGGTGGACGGAAGCGTTGACTCGGACAACATCAACGCAGACAAAAAGAAAGAGCAGCCGCCACAGAGGCAGCAGCGTCTCCGACCGGCCAGCGAGCTCTTCCTGACGGCCAAGACGCACCTGACCCGCAGTGCAAGCACACGCAGCTACGTGAGGGGACCTTTGTCGTCGTCCTCCTCCTCCACCTCGGGGGAGAAGCAGGGAGGGTTCAGCACGCTGCAGAGGAAGCCCAAACAGAAAAGCTTCCGCAGGCGACTCCTCAAATTCATCCCGGGCTTGAACCGACCGCTGGAGGAGGAGGAGAGCAAACTGTGAGAGGTTCACCTGAACTTCACAAACCCAAAGACTTAAAGCACCAGTGACTGTCAAACTAAACTGCCAAAGAAAAAAAGTGCAAGAAGCCCCAAAGACTGAAGAGACCAAAGTAATGGCTCTACAGCTGCACCTCTCCATGTTTGAGTAGACCAATGAACATTTGGCCGCGTCCTGTAGCCTTCAGTGTTTCACAGCTGTACATAACTTTTCAAATTGTTTTCTTTAAGTTATTTATTTATTTTAAATTGTCAGGTTTATGTACGGAATGAAGGATTTTCCAGTTTTTACAGCATGCACCCACTTTTGACAGCTGAGTAAATGACCCGTTACTGTTGTGATTGTGCAACACAACATTTTCTAAGTTTGATACCTACTTTAGATCATTCAAATTGATCCTGTTATATATTTTTTTTCTGCCTAAGTCACGGTTCCTAAAAATAAAAAATGTGGCATTTTCAGATGATATGCTCATTATTTTTGTGCAAAACTTGCAAGAAAAGCTGTCTTGTTCCACAGGCCACAACTGTTTGTGGGAATTGTAGCTGCCAAACTTAAATTAGCGCTCAGATCTCGAGTGTAGACACAATCTGTTTGTAATTTCCCCAGTGGGGATGTGTCCTGCTCCATGTGATTCTTTTTAAATATAGTACGTCTTTATAGTTTCACAACTCTTCTTCCATTTAAGAATGTTATCACCCGAGTTTAGGAGGTTAGTGCGTGGTTTCGTATGGTTCTAGGCTTTTTGTGGTTCAAGGTATCCAGAATGGAGGCTGTTGTGTCGGCTATGACACAGTTTATTGTTGGGAGAATAGAGAGGAATGTGCAGAGAAAGGCATGACCCAGAATTCCAAACACAACCGCTTTCTTTCAGCTTTTGCAGGCGAATGCCGATTCCTCTTCTTCCACGCTCCCATATTCCCATGGCGGCTTCAGTTGTCCAAGAGCTCACTGGGTGTGTGTGTGTGTGTGTGTTTTTGGGCGGGGGTTGCTTGGAGTCTTTTCATTCCTGGCTCCCAGCTGACCCATGAGGTCATGGTGGTCACTCTCTCCGTTGGCTCTGCGGCGTTGATCCCTTTTGTCCTCTGCCGCTCATTCACAGATGCGTCAGGAGTGTGGATGATGGTGAGCGATGGTATGTGGCCATGTGTTCAGAGCCGAGCCCCTCTGATTGTTGTGAGGACATTAAGGAGAAGCAGGGAGCAGGAGGAGGAGGAGGGGGCTTTGGAAAGGACGCTGACATAAGGGATTGTTATGCATGCTGCTGGTGCTTGAAACATGGGTTTAGAGCGAATGGGCTGAATGCATAACGAGGGGATAATTATTCAAGATGATGGTACACTAAAAACAATGTGTGAAAGGGCCATTTAACAGAGACAGAGGGCCCAAACAAGGAGGGTGCAGTTAGTACTCAGCAATTAACCCAGTGGGAGGTTAGTGTAGGGTGGTGGCTAGTCAATAATACAGTTGCAAATGTTTGGATGTCGCCTTACTGCTAAAACATCACTGTTGATTCAAAGACTATGTGCTGAATTTCTTTTGTTCGTGCAGCAGTGTGTTTAAACATGAACTGCAGGCAGACGGCTCCTTGTGCTGTTTTCCCTCCATTTTAAGTATAATTAATTGCTTAAGTTTGCCTTTGTTACTATCTCTGCATTGTTAGGAGGATGTATTATGTTTTAGAAAGGCTGGATTACAGTTTCTCTACAATGCTTTGGTGAAGTCGGACACTAAAATCAAGAGTCAAACGACAATAATTGAAACTGAATGATAGAGAAGGAGTTGTGTCCTCAAACCTACTCATACAATCAACAATGTGACATACTGCTGGCCACAAACAAAATACTGCAGAAGGAAGAAAAAACATGGAGCATCAAATCTTAAGTTCAAACTTGCAATAATAAAATGGATCAGGGCTGCAGATAATTATGTTTTATCGTACGCTTATGTTTTAGATTAACTGATGAATAATTGGATCTATAAAACAACAGAAAACAAATCACAAAATCATAAAGCAATCAAATGTGTTAATGATCACAATATTGGTTGAGGCTGAAGACTACAAATTTGAAGATAAATAAATAAATAAATCTGGGGGTTCGGTGTGAAAGAAGTGACTTCACCAGACCTCTGTAGCCTGCTCCTCATTTCTGCTTGAGGCTAGCGGCTCGTGGCTACATTAGCTGCTACTAACATGAAACCCATAAAACCCGACCGCGCTCTCAAAAGTCGAGTTCCATTGTGGATAATGTAGGTGCCATATTTTGACGAGAGGGAATAATGCATGGAATAAAAAAATAAAGTTCTCTGGTTCTGCTGTGGCGAATTTGATCGTTTTTTGTAAACTATCCACTGTGAGTCTGACAGTGTTAAAGGAATGCTGAATAAGTGAGGCACTCTTTTAATATTAATATTTGTACTTTTTGCTGAACTCAAAACAAGAATTTTCAACAAGAAATGTCACTTTACAAAAAGGTACCCGAACCTAGGCCTAGGCCTGGGCCTGGTACCGTCCATATGGAAATCTATGAACACCTGATACCACTCTGGTGTGTCCTTTTATTCTTGCAGTTTAGGATATTGTGAGCAAGGGGCTCACATTTTAATTCCAGGCTTGTGTTAAATTCTCTGCAGACCATATTTTCAATGTGATAGTCGTGTGACGGATAAAGAGAACTGCGTGTAAAGAACCAGAACTCTTTAAAAGTTGTGAAGTGAATGCATTTGAAGTTTTGATCACTGAGTTTGCAGTCTTAAACACACAATTATTAAAACACTGTGTCCAGTCCTGTCAGCGATGAGAAACGAGTTTTGAGAAGAGGAAGCAGAAGGGCCTGTAGCACAAAGTTAAGCCTCTGTGGTGAAACAGCCTCCGGCCAGAGAGCTATTTCTCAAACATGGCGTGCGTCAGAGCTTCTGATGGGCCGTTAGTGCCTCTGGTCAAATTAATGGATCGGTGCAGATGTTCTTGGTTAAAAATAAGGAAGCGGTTGGAAGTTTGAGCTCGACACTTGCAGCGTTTTTACATGTATATATGTGAACAGAAAATACACCAGACAAAACCACAACTTCAGTCTCACGCAAGAAATAAACCTGCTTGAAGCCGAAATATCTCTCAAAAGGGAAGCTTTTGGTGTCATAAAGCGTGGGTGGCCCATGTGGCATCTTGGAGTCGTGTCTGTTGTGTCTGATACACGGATAGGAGCTTGAGTGGGCCGTCAAGGCGCAGGATGTGGTTGACAAATGTGCCGGAAATCCACCATAAAGATAAGAGAATACAACTGACTGCATGCTAAAAAAAAAAAAAAGGCAGCATCATATGTGATTATTTCTTTATGTTTGTCTGTCAGTGTGTGTGTTTGACAAAGAGAGAGAGAGAGAGAGAACAGGTCATATGCAATAAAATAAGCAAGTAGACTGGACACCTGCTTTGAGAGACAACAGGTGTCAATTAAAGAAGAGTTCAGGGTCAAAAGTTACAAATAAAAACTCTTCCTTTACTTGTAAAATGTCTACAAACTGGTGAGTGTAGCACACAGGAAACTGAGCTGCCCAGCGGATGAATCAGCATTACTGCAAAACCCAACAGCCGTCACCCTCGACAGCTACAGTATCTGAATGTTTTAATAAATGCAAATTGAAAGACGCTTTTCATAATCTGCATCTGAGGTAACGATTGTGCATTTGGTTTCCCAGCAGCAGCAGCAGGAGTCAGCCGATACCTTAAAGGTTATATTGTCTCTTTGTGGCTTTAACAGCCTTTTTCCTGAAACCGCTGCTCATAATTTCCACCCAACGGTTTGTTAATGGACAACTCAGTCGTACAGTCTGAACTTCTTATTTAGGAACTGCCCTGCTGTGTGTTTTATCAACCCCTAGCTACAGTCTATAAAAAAGTTTTCCAGTGGCTACACGGGTCTAACAGATCCAAAAAAACACTTGGACATACAGTGGTGCTTGATTATTAAGATACAAAAATAGTAGCTAACAAATCAAAGCTGAAAACAGATTTTCTCAATCAGCTTCATATGCGGTCACAATTTTCTGCCAAAGTTCTTCTTCTTATTTTTTAATTAAATATTTCTCTGTTTTTTTTAAAAGTGCTGGTTTGTCGTGGGAAGTCCTCACTTGGAAAAAAGGTGATAGCGATATTTCCACACACCAATGAAAGATTAGCACGTTTCAAATCAAAATCTGATGACAGTCGTGTGGTTTGTTTGCAAACGTTGACAGGCACAATCAGTGAAACCTGATCAAACAACGCCCACACCAACCAGATGCTGCAGCAAGGCGGATTTTTAACACTGAATAAATAATAACTAAGGATGTTTTTCTTCCAAACTTAGACTTTAATTGTCGCTTATTCATTCATGGATATTTAATGCCGTAGAAATAAAAGTTCTCAGAGGCTTTAACATGCATCGATTTGCAAAATAATACCAGTTGTATTAGGTCATTGCATCAGTTGGAGTGGCAGGATGATAAATAAAACATATCTGAGAAATGCAATAAAAATGAATCGTAATATATTGAACTGCTGTACTGGAAACTATGAGTTAACGGTAACACACCACAGACTTTACAGGTTTACTTGGATATTGTGTTCTGTGACTCTGAAAGATGCTTTTTTATTTTATTTTTTTTATGCTTGAGACGTCAAATGTTAAACAGTGTTACAGCTCCAGCAACCTTTTAATAAAGAACTGCTTAACTTTGTTGTATGATGACCTTGATGAAGGCAGCGATCTGAAATCTCCTAAAAGTGTCTCTGAAGACCTCAATTTCCCTTCTCAACGCACCTTGGAAGTTGTGCCAGAAATCATTCTCTGCTTTACATCTTTAACAGAACTTAGGGGATGGAATCTGAAAGACATGTGTTTACCAGACAAGGAGGGTCTAATGGAATAGGATGCATAATGAGTTGCATTATTGGAATTGTAGAACAGGGTTTTTGGAACCAGTGACCAAAAGCAGTGTATAGTGTATATTACATTCATAATATAAATTAATTTATGCCCCAAATTGTGTTTTTAAGCAGCCTGTCCAGCACCACCCTGCTCTTAGTTCACCCAAAAATGGACCAGTACTACTCGCACATTAACTCAACTTCTGCTGCTTCTACTTCAGGGAGTAAGGATCATTATGAAATTTACATTAGCCACAGAAGAGGTGCAGATTTTGAGGGACGTATCCCTTATTCCATTACTCCATCCACTCATGGAAATTGTCATACGTCATGCCTGCGTATACCCTGCAATACTGTCTAAAAGTTAGGATAAATGATAAATGGTAAAAAAGCAATTAAAATAGGGTTTTACTAAATAGATCTTTCATTATAAAGCTGTGTACGATTGTCTATGTTTGGCAGCTGATTGTGTTTTACTGTAGCGGAGCACGTATGTGAATATGAAGCTCTTTGCAACAAAACAATATTTGAAGTGTCCACAGAAATAAACGCTTCATGTTCATCGTCTCACCATGTGGCTGTATCCAGTTACAAAATAAGACCTTACATCACCCACCAAACCCATCCAACACACACACACACACACACACATACTTATATACTTAGAGTATTTCCTGTTAAAGTGGGTGACAGGTGTGAATGTCTGCATCAGTGAATATGCTTATTGCTCCTCATATGTCAGACAGTCGTGGCCATTTAGCTTTAATGCCCACACAGGAAACACAACAGCTGCATGTGGCTAATCTCAGTATAAATTCAGGGGCGAATGAATGAATCATTTGTTTGTTCGTACTGTTTTCATATATTAGTTGGAAGTTACAACATCCTGAAGTGGTGCATATAGGCTTAGTCCTAATACAATACACATGTGATTGTGTTTGGCTTAAACTCTTTGCTCTCTGTCTTTCCTGTTGTGCTCACAGCAGTGTCAGTAATACAGCAGATCTGTTAAAAAAAAAAGTAAGATTAAATCTGGATGAAACCTAATCATTTGCAGGTTATTTTCTCGATTTGGGGTATTTGAGAGAGTTTTCCTCAGGATGTGAAACAGTGTGTGTACAGATGACGTACTACAGGCCTTATATTGAACAGTCAGTTATTAAACAAGTTCCTCTTTTTCATGATGGCTTTATGATGTTTGAGAACAGATAAGGAACCACCTGCCAATGTACCGTAGCTTCCACTCTCTGACACACACACAGAAGAGAGTCAAAACAATACTGGAAATGTTGAAGCTACTTTGTTAAACTCTTAGACTTTTAGATCAGTTTCCAATCAGCTGCTGCCCCACACCAGAATTATTAAACATTTGTAATATTTATTCGTCATTTTCATAATGAAATGATCAAACTAGTAAGTAGGATATCTCTCCAAGTTACACTATTAACATTAACCCTACTTAACCATAAAGAATAATCTCTGCACTCTTTCTTCTATCTTTCTTTCCCTGTACTTTTTTGTAATCTTTTAATTTACTACTACATTTACTTTATTTTGTGTTTTATTTTACTACTGACTTTAGGCCTGTGTGATTTTATGGTGCTGCACTGACAAATGATTCAGGACTGAGTAACCATGGAGCTACCTTAGTAGTTTTGCTAATTAATGCTAAAAGGAAGTAATTTGATTATGCAGATTTTTTTGTAATGTAAAACAATCAATTTGTTAATCGCAGTTTCTGAGGTAAAAAATATAGTTAAAGGTCCAGTGTGTTACATTAATGAGGATCTATTGGCAGAAATTGGCTTTAATATTCATAGGTGTGTTTTCATTAGTGTATAGTCACCTGAATGTAGGAATCATTGGGTTTTCGTTAACTTAGAATGAGACGTTTTTATCTACAGATGCCGTGAGTTGCCTTCAATGGAGTCCGCAATGTTTCTACAGTAGCCCAGAACGGACAAAACTAACTCTGGCTGTAGATAGGGGCCTTGGCATTTTTTGTGATTTCCGCAGCCACCGTAGTTTTTCCTACACGCTTGGAACAGGAGGGTGAGGCGAGCGGGTTGTAATCGGCAAGATTCAGTCTGCTTGAAGCCACACAATCCTCCACACTGGTCCTTTAAGACAGTAAAGGATTATAGTTGAGATGTGGTCACAGTACTGTATGTATCAGACCAAAAAAACTGGTAAGAATTAAACATTAAACATGTCATTTCCTCCACTAGGGGGTCTCTCACATCAAAACAATGACAAAAGACAAAGTTTGATGTTGTCTTGAAGTAGCGTGGGATCATGGGAGTTGTTGTCTTCACCACCATTGCCGTCATTGCAGTCAGCTTCTCCCGGTTAGGATTCAGGAGAGACGAATTAACAGCAGCGGTCTCCTCCTCTCTAAAACAAACAGCCTCTGGGAAACCAGTAAAAACACTGAATAAAACAGTGTATCTAAAACCCTGAATGAAAAAGAAAATGCAGTCATATAGGGCGTGGCCACGTAGCTCTGTTATGTGTAACGGCACGCAGTCTGCAGAGTTGAGATGTTGGTTGTTGACGAAAGCTGCCACTGCATATGTCACCGGCCTCCAGATCCAATAGCACAATTCAATTGCAATAGCCGTGTTTCAACAAGTAGAAGGCTGTTGCTATGTATTTCTTATAGCAAAATATGTAGAAATCAAATACTGCGCATTAAAATTTCCAGATTTGCAGCTAAATCAATTAACAATACTAGTAAATAAGCCATATATAGACGGTTTCAGCAGAAAACTCTTTAAATTCCTTCAAAAAGAGCCGGCCAGCTGAGCTGCTGCTAACGTTAGCTCACTTAGTTTCTCTAATAACTTAAGATCCAGACGTCTAATGATTAAAATCCTTAATCTGGTTCAAATATACAGTTAAGATTTCACAGCTCAACAAAATACAGGACATAGGAAGAGTGTTTATAGACATTATAGACAAATTGAATGGGAATAAAAAACAAGACTCTTGAGGAATAGCTGGAAAAAAACAGAGCTTTTTTTTACCCAGCATACATCTAAGGGTGAAGGACTGTTATATAAAACCTCTGACAGCTGTGAGTGTGAGAGCAGAGTGTACACACAGAGACAGAGAAAGTCCTCAAATACAATGGCAGGAAGTGTCATGGGGTTATATCTTTAATCGCTGTGTAGCCACAGTTTGAAACCTTTTCCCAGAAGTTGTAACAGCCAAATATTTCAGTTAGATTATTTACTGAAGTCAATCATTTTTGTCATAAAAAGCCCCAAAGCTGAAGATGTGTGTAACCACTAGAGCAACATGTAGACCTGTAGACATCCACACTTGAGCTGAAAGACAGAGAATGGCGACAGTAACCCCTTCCTGTCTCCAAAGACAGGAAGTGGTGGGGATCAGTTTGTTCTGA